CCGAAGGCGGTGCTGTATGTCCCTTGCTGGCGGGTGTATTCTCAAGATGACGAAACGTAATGGAACCCCACAGACGACTTACCCACACAATGTACAAACAAATCCGAAATTCTCTTTTTACGAGAATAAGTCAGATTATTGGTGGAGGTAATAGTACACCAGTGATGACATATTTATGAATGCAGACATCAATTTTTGCCAATAAACAACTGAAAATGTTACACAATGTCCCTTTAAGGCAGTACAGGAGGAGGTGCACATTAATAATCCTCCAGGACTGTAACATGCTCATGTTTAACCCAAACAATGTGTCACGTGACTGCAAATTAACCTACTTGCTTACGTGTATTTCTCTCCTGGTTGTCTTAATAACATGTTTACATCTTATCCTGGAATGTCATGTCACCAGGATATCCTTATAAAACAGTGAAAGCTTTGGTTGCTTCAGTATTATTTTCTGTTGTGAAACTTACAAATCCAACATGCCAAGCTTGTCAGGGTCACAAGACACCTTGATCACATCATATCTAATTCTTTATTTCTAGCTTTATCATATTTATTCAGCAGGACAGTTTTGTTTTAATGCACTTACACTTTTTGCATGTTCAGTTTAGTACAGTGTCATATATTGCTGTTGACCAGTTTACAGACCTTACCAGATTTTTCTGTTTCTGAATGTTTTTACTGCCTTGATAGTGTTGCGTGAAAGTAACACTTTAAACTTAAATGAATATAAATGAGTGAATATAAAGCTATATTAAATCATCCAGGTGTCATTTAATTGAAAGAAGGCAAGCATGGTGGTGTGTTGAAGTGCTGGTGAAAAATTATAGCATTATTCTTACAGTGCATAATTTGCTAACTGGAAGTAACAGAGCTACTGTGTGTGAACTGAACTGCAAAAGAAGATAAAAACTGATGAGCAACACTGTCGACGTTCTATTTTTTTGTTAAAGTAATTTCTGGACTTCATTGCATAATATAATACATTGCCTTTGTGGACTCAGCATAATTATTTCCATATGTCTCCCATTCCATATTCCTCCCTAATAATAATGTCTCGTGATAAAACACAGGTGGCAGTGCAGATGCAGAGGCATAAAAAGAGGTTGTCATGTCATTTTCTGGAGGTTATCTTGGAACACAGCAGCCATTCACTGCAGGGAAATCTTAGCAGCCATTATATAATATACAGATGAATTAAAATCGCTGCAACCTAGTTCTCTTCGTCCTGCCATCTCTCCCTCACTGTCTCTCTCTGTGGTGTCAGAGCAGTTGATTGTAGAGCTTTGCTGAAACTCAGTAAGGGAGAGCTGGGAAAAGTCCCTGTATGTGCTTTTTTCTCTCATTAAGCTGTTTTGTTTACTGCTCGTCCACAATCCAAAATATCTGTATCTGCTCAGAGAGGCATACAAAATACTTGTCCCTTTCTGTCTGCACTCCTATTCCTCATATTCCAACAATCCCTTTCTCTTTCTTGCTTTTACTTGCCTGCCTTTTAAGTCACTTTTCAAAGCAATGTGTGCCATTAACCAGCTGTCAGTGTAAGGGTGCTTGGCACATGGATTAGACTTTGATGGCTTTTCCACGACTGTAGAGGCTGTGCTGCAAAAGTGTACTGCAAAACTTTTTTTTTTCCAGTCCAACTCTTGAGAAATTTCGGCTTCTTCCCTGTCATTTAATTCCGCTTTCAAATGAAGCATTACCCGGACACTCTGTCAGATTTTAATGCATTAGAGAGAGCACATGTACTTGCTAAAGCCCACAAAGAAACCCTCTAAGCACCTTTTCCATGACTGAGGCTTGTAAATGTAATTGCTGGTTTCACCTCCGGCTTTTAAGAAAAGAGGACAGGAAGGAGTACAGATGGATGATTTTTGGTATAATCACCGTCCTTAAATTTCTAAAGAGAGGCTGCTGAGAAAGCCAGAGAGGAGAGAAATGGACCAAATCACCCTCTCCGTGTTAGTATGTAGCACGTGTCGTGTGAGTGTTTGTGTGTTTCTGTATTTTCTGTTCGGGAGTGTTGCAGTTTCAAAGCACATTTTAATCTGCACTTTCAACTTCAGCAATTTACTTTCATCTTCCTGCGTCTAGATGAGTGACCTTGCTGTGTTCCACTTACATGAACTAAGTGATGTGTTTTTTTTTTTTTTTTTTTTTTTTTTTTTAGCATCTGCTTCCTCTGTCCCTTGTTAAGTGGAATAAACATACACGCGCACACACACGCACACACGTCTGTATGACAACAAACGCATGCTTTTTGTCCAGGGAAAAGTCGGTGCTAGTAATGAGACTAAGTGTGGCCAGGCGGATGGACAAGTGAATGAAACAGCTACAGAATCACTGGCTGTGTTTGATTTGCCTCCACTAATTCAAAGAGACCATCTGATAAATTGAGAGGATGGGATGTACATCAGAATAGCAAGAGGCGCCTCTTTGTTGTTCCCCATTCCCAACCAAATCACACCCCAACCCCCGTCAGAACACCCAGAGGGGAGAATGTTTCCCTTGTGCGTGTGTGCGTGTGTGCGTGTGTGTGTGAGGGAGAGAGGGAGAGAGGGAGAGAGAGAGAGAGAGAGAGAGAGAGAGAGAGAGAGAGAGAGAGAGAGCTGGGTTGCTAGGAGGTGCGAGTTTTCAGGAGGTCCTGCTGAAAGCAAATGAAGGAGCACTTGTGTCAACATTCTGATGGCAGCGATGAGCCACAAAGCCTCCCGGCCGATCAGCCATGGGGCTGCAAAACCTCCCTGAGGGAAAAGCAGGAGGTGCACTCTCAGAGCCCTGTTGAACTTCTTCTTTATGTGCAGATCAGTGAGACAAAAACCCTTTTCTTTAGTCTAGATATCTGACTTTAAATGTTTCCATGGTTGTTGACTTGAGGTTCTGCAGGAAGTTATATTGTTTAAAGTGATGATTATATATGATGGTCGGGCAAAAATTGTTTGTGATGCTTTTTAAGATGATGTTTTTGCCATTTTCTTCATTTGATAGTAAACAGTGAAGAGGCGTACAGGAAATGTGGGAAGGAGAGACAGGGGGATGTCATGCAACAAAGGTCCCTGGCCGGATTCAAACCGGAGATGTTGCTGTTGTGTGGTATGTGTTTTTATGCCGCTGAGCCACCGTGACATCCCGTGTTTGTGATTTGGAAGTCTGCATTCCTGTTATGTTTTGACACTAAATCCTGTTTTGATGGTGTATTTTTCTGCATGTTTCAAGGCCTGTTATGATAACTACTTTTGGTGGATACTACATATTCCCAGAACCAATTGCGATAAACAATATGGTCATTTTAAGACCATTTTATACCACTGAAATAATGGTACTAAAATGGCATAATCCAAGTACAACCTTAGAAAGAGCAATGAACTTTTAATTCTTGAAGGTCCAGTGTCTAAGATGTAGGAGGATTTATTGCCATGTAGCAGTGACGACTGCAGATTGCAACCAGTTGAAACTTTTCCAGGTTAGAATTTCTTCAGCATTTATTGTTCAGGAGATTTGTATGGGGAGCTGAATTAAATGCAGATGGTTCTTCTTCCTTTTCAAAAAAATCAGCGTTTTTCTGACGCTGCTTGTCACGGAGGGGCTTCTAACTATGGTGGCTGACACAAAATGTGAATGGCCCTGTTTAGAGCCATGTTTGGTCTGTCTGGTCTGGGCTACTGTAGAAATATTGCAGTGACATTGGAATTGGAATGTAAATATAAACATTAAAAGCCATAAATAAATATAAATAAAACATAAAAATGTGTGTGTGTGTGTGTGTGTGTGGAGGGGAGCCCTGCCCTCAGTCGAACTCTGACAGAGAGCAGACAAGAGGACAGAAGCATTGGGACCAGAAATGACAGCAAAACGTGTTTCAGCATAGGTTTTTTTTTTCTTCTGTTTATCCGACTCTGGCGCTGTGGAAAAACACTTTGGCGCTGTGCCCAAGTCTTGTAATGGTCAGGAAAAAACTGCTGTTTATTCTAGCATCATGTTGGTTAAAATGTTGGCGACATTCTAATGTCAACTACACGCAAATAAACACAAGGAAAATATCATATGATATGGACACAACTTGGATAGCTTTTGCTGACCTTGATAAGTCGATGATGTGGTTATCGGGACAGGCCTGTATTTTTATGTATTTGTGTGAACTTTACATGACTGTCTGAAGTTCAGGACAACAGTATGTGCATGTTTGAGTGAGTGGTCATTCCTCAAAAAGCGTTCTGCAAATCAGAAACACATGAAAAGGGACTTTCCTTCAACCAACCATCACTACTTTAGTCTTTGTTGTTGACAGCTAATCTTATCACAAGCCTATCTGTGCGTAACATCATGCATTGGATGTTTATGCTGCATGCATCTAAATGAATGCACGCGCTAGTGTGTGCACATTCTTCCACAGCTCATTGGTGGCTCAGATCTTATGCCTTGAGCAGCAGTTAGTCCAGATGTTTGGTGTCTAAAAGGAACATGCTACTTTGGAAACTTTCCCACATGCTATCTGGTGTGGTTGACACCGCGCTGGCCCCAAACTTCAAAACAACCCAGTTCTAAAAATAGTCTGAAGCTCTTAATCATTCTGCAGACTCTTCATGTCTCTGATAGTCAGCTCACAGAGCTCAGCTAGGACACATGCAGTATTACCCGCCCAAGTCATGCTGTAAGTACCGACACGCATCTCATGGCTCTTAGGCTGAGTTCACAAGGCACTAAGCGTCTGATTGTTAACTATTTGCAGCTCTCTGTCATGCTCTCTTACAGCAGACACACGTGACATTATGTATGAAACACGACCGGGCTAATTCCATGTCCTTAAAAAAACAAACCCTAAGACCTCTCTTTCTGTGCCATAATGTTTTATTTCAACTATACATGCCGTGTTAAAAAAATCAACAAAAAATATCATGAAACAAAGACCATCATTATTATTTACACATTCACAGTACAACTTTACAACATATCTACACGCTCAAATACTCTGGAGATCATATATACAGCTGGCCTGGCATCACCATGTCGCACAGTATTTAAATCAAAATTACATGACAAAATCTGGTTCATCTGCACATACACGGAGCTCAGACTGAAATATAAAGGCTTCAATCTAGATTGCAACAGAAAGACCCAGTTCATATTGCAATGTACAAGGCAGTTGAGCAGTGTATGTTGAGTGTATGTCTGCGATGTCAGTGTGCATGTGTCGAGTAGAAAAGAGAGCCCAAACACTGGTTAGATGACAGGCAGAAAGTCTTTACATACAATCATCACTTGTAAACAAAATGTGGCTTTGGGCTAAACAGGCAACTGACACTTGGATAGGATTGCAGATGTCACCCAAATAATGTACCCAAGAGAAATGATCCCTCAGACATCACCGCTGGCCAATAGAAACAACTCCTGCCACTGCAATCCTGGGGAATTATGGACTGTGTGTGACCACTGCCCATGCCAACAGACGGCTTTCATGTGAACACTGTGTTAATACATTGGCTGTGGGCAGGATGTGCTGCGTTGAGCCGACTGCTCCACAGTGCAAGGTCTAACCACCCTACATCCCACTGTCAAGAAAATACATTCACTGCATGGCACCTCTATGTGGTGGATTAACACCATTCTTTTCAACACCGGCAGTAAAGCAGAAAAATTGATTCAAACTCCAAATAAATGTTTTTTTTCCTACTGTCCTTTTTGTATGACTAGAATGTCTGTCAGTGTCTGTCAGTCAATTTCTTTCACCTCAGTTTGGATTAGGTAGTGATTTTCCAACACATCCTGCTGATTTTCAAATTGCTTGTATAAAAAAAATGTTTATATAGTATATGACAATAACATACAGAGGACCAATTGACATAGCCAATATATTTCATTTTGTGAATAAGGCACACAATGCACAGATTCAGGTTCACTTGCCTAAAAATATTTATACTCCTTATTTATAGTATTTAAGTATATACAGGATCTTGTCATTCCCAGCATGACTCATTTGGACACATTTGTAAATTGTTGTGTTGATTGTACACTGGCCACTCGCAGGGGAAGCTGCACAGGGAACACGGGCTGCAGAACCAACACGGCAGATGACAGAGGTGTTACATCCATGTATTGTTCTAGGGTCAGTTTTAATATACCTTTTAATAGGATTAATGTAGAAGGAAAAGTCTAGTGTTTGCTTTATTAGGGGACACACAAGTTTAACGGAACAGAAGTGCCCTGAAATGTTGAATTCATATACATGGGCTAAACCATTGGTGTTGCTTTAGTTTCATATGGTAAATTCTTTAAATAACACAGTAAAACATCATAAAGGCAAATCATTTTTGTTCAAAATTCATTTATAGAATGAGATGAGAAATGTATGTTTTTTCTTAATACCATTGCTACATAAAGAAAGAAGTCTCTTGAACCACCAGTATAATTCCTACAAAGGGGCAGTGGAGGTTAGGGGAGATTCAGTCCTGGAGAGAAGCATTTTTCCCCATTTAACAGTGCGTTTGGTTGCTTTAACTTGTACTTCTTGGCCTCTGTCTGCACCATAACACAAACACACACACACACAAGCAGATGTGCACACCCATATGAAGGGCTATCCCAGTCTGGTTGAGAAATAAATGCATCAAAGACAAACGCCTATGTCTAAAACCAATAGCAGCAAATGTAAGTAAAATTTCCCAGTGAGTTACAGAGTTCATGTCCCAGTATACACCCAGCATGACCAACCACACCTCAGCCTAACCTAGTAATCAAAAACACTACAGAGTGACAAAAAATATGGTTTTGACATGGTTCAGATGGGTTCAAACAAGCGATAATATTGAAATGAGAGACGGTGACTTAGGTCTTAGACAGGTCTTAAGGTGCATCCTCTGACATGTAGCACCACTCTTGATAAACAAGTGTGAAGGCTTAACGTGTACTGCCTTTACACAAATCTGCTTTCCTATCAACCAACACACACGCACACATTTGCACTCTTTTTCTCTGTTTGCTTGCTGCTTGATTCAGACGTCAGCAGTCATATGTATCTTAAGCAACACGCACACTTATGATTTTGAGTTTTCTCTCCTCTGCCCCCAGCCATCTCATTAACAAAGGCATGGCCTACCTCTCCTCTTTGTTCAGTTCACATTAGTGGGAAAACAGTGCTCAAGGGCAGTGACAAATGAGACCCATTCTTCAAGTATTCCACTGTTTTTAATCTGGCACCACAAGCACAGACGCCGTAGCAGCCCCGGCTGGTGTCCTAAACCTCGTACCTAATAAGGGAATGGGCGACACCCAAGCCCAGATACAATGGGGAGCAGCAGATTCACCACTGTCCACTGTTCATATCCTGTGGCTACCGTGACAAGGGAGGGAGATGGAGACGTAGGGAGCAAAAAAGCCCCAAGGAGTATCTTTGGCCACATGTGTGATTTTCCCTTTTTTAGTGTGAGTGAATGTGCATATTGTTTAAAGGGGGAACACACCTCAAGTTGATACACAAACACACACTAGGCCCGACCCCATCCATAGCCCCCCAAAGCCCTCAGGGCTCAAAGCTCTACAGTCAAGGCCAAGAGCTCACTCCAAAGTGTCCATGCTCTTTTAATAACTGTACTTATTAACCACTCGCATCTGTGGAGTCTGTGGTGAAAACCCATTGGGTTTTGGGGGCACATCTGGCTTTAGCGATGGGGTCCGTTTAAGCCCTGTGCGAGGGAGTGAGCCATATCCACTGTAGCTGCTCTGTCGGGATACAGAGGATGGGTGGGCTGAGTGCATTCCTGCCCCCATCACTCCGCCTTGGGAGTCAAGTCTGGAGGGGGGTGTTGGGGGCATGTAACCCCCTCTGTTCATACTGTGCTGGCGAGACACAGACACCCCCATGGTTACCCCATTTGGTGAGGTGGATAAGGAGTGCCTGTGAGAGGCACTCCGGTGGAGTTGATATGCCCCTCTTTGCCTCTCCAGGGTGCCCCCCATGCTCCCCGTTGGTGTTGTGGGAGTAGTGGGCATGGGCACATCAACCCTCTTGGTGGGGCTGTGCCTTGGCAGGGAGGTGGAGGGAGAGTACAGAGAAGCCTCACGGCTGGGCACCTTGGGGGGTAATTCAGTCAGTTCCTCCATGGGCTCCAGTGTGAGCTGCTGCCTTGGGCGAGGCCCTGATCCTTCTTGAAGAATGGCCTTAGGGTTCGCCACTGAGTCATTTAGGTGTTTTAAAAGGTCATTTAGGGTATTTCTGGCATCCACAGACCTTTTCTGGTCTTTCCTACTTCCCTTAGAATCTGGGTTCTTCAGTTTCCTGTCAGACGAATGTGGTAGTGTATCATCTCCATTGTCAAGGTTAGGGTGGTCATGTGTGGCATTGGGCAGGACAACTGCACTGGGGATGTGGGAGTGTCCCAAGGCAAGGTGAGGGTGGTTGGGGTTAGGAGGAGCAGGGGAAGATGGAAGGAACTGAGGACTCTTGGCTGATGAGTTGGACTCCTTGCGAGGCCCGCTGGCCTTCCCGTGAGCCCTCTCCCACTGGTTTTTGATGGGCTGCAGGCTTTTCTGCTGAAGCACAGGGGTGGACTCAGGTGTAGGCAGGGCAGCCAGCTCTGGGGGCTGACAGCCATCCCGCAGGATCATGGTCTTGGTGTCTCCGTTAGGTGAATTCAGGTCTTTGCTGTTGCTCAGTAGATTGGTGTACAGCTTGGGTGTATCAATGTTGGTCTGGTACTCCTGAGAATATAACAATACAAATCAAAGGAGGAACATTAGACACATCTTGTTCATTCACTCCTCACCACAAAGGACACTGATGTTGCATTGGACCTGTTTCAGTGACTGTACCTTTACAGGGCTGTCAAAGAGGCCGTTGAGCTTGACAAAGCTTCCAGTGGAGTCGGAGCAGGACGGTGCCGACTCTGCATCCTTGTGGACATGCCTCGGCTTACGGAGGAATGAGTCTCGATAGCAGAAAACAATCAGACCAGCCAGGAGAGCACCCATGAGAAAAGCAGCAAACACGCAGGTGATGAGGATGTTCATGTGGACCATCTGGTTGGTCTCACCTGCTTGGATATCCCATACACCTATAAAACAGTGGAGTACTGGTTAACCCCTGATGAAAAGAGTTTAAGTGCTCAGTGAAGCGTCCCTCCCATTCAACAGCAGAAATGCACATGTTTGTGTAAGAACACAACCATGCATGAGTTTCTGATTTTACACCCCCCCAATACGAGGTAACCAGTCAACCAAATACCATAAATATTGACACATTTCTATTCATCAAACCCAGATGAAGAAGAAATATGGTAAAAGTTGGCAGAAGCTGTTAGGTACCCACATCCATTTCACCATCTATAAGAAGCAGTGCTATGTTAGTTGAGAAGGGAAGACTCAAAGTGTTGCCTTGATCCACGTTCCACTAGAGGCTTGTTGTCATGCGTTTAACCGATACCAAAGGGTTAGGAGTGCACTCTTTTCTGAAATGGAGAGCCAAATCAAGAGACCAACCAACAGGAAGGTGTTCAGAGAAAAGAGAAGCAGTGCTCGTCTCCAAGGTGTTCTCTACTGGAAGTTTGTTAGTAACCACAGACATTGAAAGAGTTAGTCATCCACCGTGCGGCCACAACAGTATTGTGGCAGAGCAGGGCCAGTCAATGATCTACCAGCCAGGGTAAACTGTTAACTAGAGCTAGGGTTAAAAATCTATACTGGCAGAGACAGATGCTAAATTCAAACAAATGTTTTAACAAAACTATACAAGAACGGAGAGTGCAAGGCTTAACGATTAGAAAACTGGGAATAAATAATATAAAAGAAAGAAAGAACATACGGAAATTTCAATTTAAAGGAAAGAAAACAATAGTAACATGAAAATATAATGTGTATAGCAACATAAATTATGTATGAAAGAGTCTATTTGATAAAGAAATTAGTATCTGCCATGTTGTCTAATGAAAACCCTACATAGCTGCCAATGTGTGCATGTGTGTGTTTGCATATGTGTAGATTCACATTAGTGTAGCTTAGTGAGAGTTGTTGGCAGCTATCAGATCGGGCTCATTGCAGCATGTTGGCTGCCTCCCTGTGGGCCTTACCCTCTTGGCCCCCTGGGATAGAGTCTAAAGAATGGGAGGTGGCTGGGTCATCCTGCAGCACAAAGCCTGAGCCGTAGAGCTCTGGACCAGGCCCAGAGCTGGGGCTCTGAGTGGGTATGAGTACTGGGGGGTGTTTGGGCCCACTGGGGTGGACAGTGACTGGCGCTGATGAATACTCCATGTCTGTGGTGACAAACAAATTGTTAACAAACTGTGCAGACGTGGGTGAAGCATACTGTTATCATCCCGGTTAGTAGGGATGGGCAATGGGTCACTTTTAGGGTTAGTGTTTGACAAAATAGTGGACAAACCTGATCACAGTTCACATTCACAGACCAATGAAAGTACAGTTTTGTATTTTGTTTAGACAATTTGGAAGGGGACAAAGGAGAGGTTCAAAGAGGAGTTGGTACACAACAGTAAGGATGCTACGGGATGGTGGGTGGACATGCAAGAGGGATTGGAACAGGAAGTGATGAGTGAAAGGGAGAAAGTGAATCTGTGCTGAGATAGAGCACCGATGTCGCCCATGAGTCTGTTGTTTGTGACAATGAAAATGAAGCAGGTGACATTAGCATTCAGGAGGTGTTTGGTAAGAAAAAGATGAATGGTGGCAGTGGCGGAAAAGACAGGGTTGTAGATGCTGAACTCAAGGAAAGAAACCATTTGAGTAAAAGATCAAACTAACCAGAGGTAGGGTCGCCAAATGATTTGTAATCTGGCGCTGATGTAGTGCCCAAAAACGCTAAAAGAATTAAAAGGACAAGAAATCAGTATAAAGGAATTCAGAGGTAAAAACTAAAATTCCTAAGAGACACTAAGAGTGCAGTTTATTTGATTAAATAGTAAAGATATAAAGCACCCGCTAGCAGTGTCCGTTTCTCACTGGAGTCACTCGAGGCCCTCTGGTTCTGATCAATACTGAGGTTCAGCCATGGTCATGTTTAGTTGGTACAAATGAAGGGACAGGCATTTTACAGTAAAATCAGCAAAGGCACATTTTCTGGCCATAGGATATCTTCAGACCTCTACCATTTGCACCAGCTGAACATGACCCTTAATTGTACATGTCCATGTTTCTGCCTCACAGGTGGCATAAGTTACAGGTGGCCATGTACTGTATGCAGATGTGTGTGTTAATACTACACATAGACTTATGTAGGGGCAAGTTACTGGAGTGGTTACTGGTGTGAGTGTGCAGGCTCATGATGTGTGTGGAGATGAGTTTGACATGTGTGCATGTGTGTGTCAGTGTACGTGTATCTGTGTGCGTATTTGCATATGTCTCAGGATAGACGGCATGACAATGGAGATGAGATCCGTACCGTGACAGTCCCCCAGGTGGGCGGTGTTACCAAATTCAACATCCTGCTCATATCCAGTCCTGAAAAGAAAGCAAAGAATAGATGGAAAGATAGGGAGCTTAATCAAAGAGAAGCAAAAAGTCTTGATATCTTATTTTCTCATCTATAATATTTGCACTTTATATCACAGCTGAAAGCTTGAACTCACAAAACGCCAGGCTGTATCCTCTCACAGGCCCCGTGAGGCTTCCAGCCACAGTAGGGGTCCCTTGATGCAATGCAGGACCTGGAGCCATGCAAACACACACACACACCATCAGAACTCCAGGTTTAATCATTCAGGGAAGTGCACTATAATCATTTGTCACTGACTGAACATTAACCAAAAGGCATAAGACTGAGTTCTTATCACTCCCTTTATGGTTTTTACTGAAATGCAAAACAACAAAGTCACACACCTATGACCGACCGTACAAAGCACATTTTAACCCCCTACATGCGCATTTGCACGTCACTCACTTGTGGCAGGAAGAATGCCTTTCACAGCGACTCAGGGGAATACGGATGACGCAGCTTGAAAAGGCGACATACAGGCTGTGGGCGTCTTTGTCCACGTGCAGCGAGAGGACACGCTTGTCGTCCTCACGGTTAGACAGACACCTGGGAGGGGAAGAGAGAAACCTGATCAGCGGTTTATCAGATGCGTGTGTCTACTGTTTCAGTCTCAGTAGATTTAATCACTTGTAAGGTGGAGAAGTCACATAAAGCTTTCCCTCACAGTTTAACAGGGTTTTAACCCCTAACACACGGCAGGGTGTGCGTTCGCATCCACAAATAAGCACAAAAAAACAATCAGACACATACTGTGCAATGCAGACAGACATCTGTGTCAGGATGCTTCACTTTAAGAGTTGCTGACTCCTCAGCCAGAAGGGGGAAGAGAAAAAGAGAAGAGAGGCAGACAGACAGACAGAGGGTGAAAAGTGCATGTATTCCTACTTGGCCCTGTTGAAGACATCAATCTCCTCTAGAAGCAGGCTGTCATTCAGAGACACGGTGGAAGTCTTGGCCAAAACCTTGAGGACAACCCCCGACTCGGCCCCGATGAACACCACTGTGTAGTTCTTGTGAGGTCCTGCTTCATTGTCCACAGCCAGTGCTGTCAGTCTGTACCTACAGACACAGCAGAAGAGCATGTGTTACTCACAGTGGGGGTTATCCCATTCAGAATGGGAGAGGCCATTTTGAATACACACATCGCTTCAGCTCTTGGATTACACAGTAAGCCACAGTAAATTAGGAGACGTGTTGATAGTGATATCTCCATGTGCGGCACATTATTAACGGGCTATTGAACCTCAATGCTTTTACAGTTCTGACCTGAAGGTGTCTGTAGCACTGAGTATTGAATGTTTGCATCAAATGCTTTGTCAGATTTGTTTATTCCTAAGTCATATTTTAACATATACATAGCTTTGTTAATTTTACATCATTGTATTTAGGCAAAGTTTTTGGAGAGCTGCATTGAGCGTTAAAGGTCCAGTGTGTATGATTTCGGGGGATATATTGGCACAGATGGAAAATAATACAATAAGCATGTTTTTTTTAGTGTACAGTCACCTGAAAATAAAAATAGTTGTGTTTTGTTATGTGAGAGTGAGCTATTCAGTGTTTTCATCCATATAAATCACCGGGTCTATTTGTTCTGGAGAGCAAGAGACCTCTGCAGATAATCTGGTTCCTGGTAGAAACCTCCTGAATGTCTGGATCTTTAGTTATCAGAGAAAAAAGTGAGCATGCATTAGCTGATGCTGGGCTAGCGGCCCGAGTGAGATGTGCCGAATAGCATCGGAGAAATGCTGATTTTTAACTTGAAACTGCTTTATTCAGTGTTTTCACTGGTTTTAATAACCTGGTCTATTTATTTTGGAGAAGAAGAGACCTCTACAGATAATTGGACTCCTGATAAAAAAAAAACTCCTGTACAATAAACACTGAAGGAATCATATCTGGATAACATTTTAGCTGGCTGCAATCCTCACTGCTAGATGCTACTAAATCCCACTAAATCTTACACACTAGACCTTTAAGACAGCATTTGGTTAAACATTCAAATAAACTTGTTTTCAAAACTAATGTATTTAAAAAACTGAGGTAATGTTCCCTAATGTGCTTCTGTGTTTACCTGACGCGAGTCTTGGTGAACCAAGGCTCATCCCCAATAGAAGGCACAGCTGTGTCCATCAGGGGGTGGGACTTGATGAACTGCAGGGTTTCGTCCGGGAACTCGATGGAGCTCTTTAAGGACGCAGCTGGACCATGACCTGCACAGCACCCGGGTCTAGGATGAAGGGTGCACACGAACAGAGGGCAAAAGGTCAAAGATCAGCCTATGAGATCACACACCAGGGAGTAATAATAGCGTGTATTGAAATGGATGAAAAGTGCAACGAGAGGGTGGGGGGGCGGAGGAGCAGGTGCTTATTAGGATCACAAAAAGGCCTCAGCTGGAAACATAAAATATACATATGCATGGTTATCCTCCATTAATGATTTACTGGGGTAATGAGGTGCTTCGTGGACTTTGTGTTTTGGACACAGGGCAGGGCTACAAATATACATGGCGACTGTAAACAGGTTAAATATGCAACGCGTCTAATTATGCCAGATTAAAAATTTAATCATCAGCAGATGGTGAATGTGTGCTGGGTCAAGGCTACTAACTTCATCCCTTACTAGTGAAAAAGATTTGATTTCATTGGGTTTAACCTGGACAAAGAAGGGTTAAGAAAAGGGGAAAACTGACAGGCGGTAAAGAGCCGCTGAGTCAAGTGCCGCTTGCTCAAGAAAAGCCAGGTTTAAAATCAAACATTGCTTTTTTTCTTTTGCTTTATTTGCTCTGTATGCTTTGGAGAGTTTTAGAGTTTTTCTTGGGAAAACAAAAGTTAAATCTTTACCGAGGTTTGGGCAGCTTCTCCTCAGGAAATGGAGTCCACACAGAGTCAGGAGTCTTCTGCTCTTTGAACCGACCCCAGAAAACTTTCTCTATGTCCGCCATGGAGAAGGCACACACTGCTGACCCTGGGATGCTGGGGTGAAATGAATACATTAGTACAACATCTATGTATGATTCCTACTTTCTTATATCTGCCCTCGCCATTGGTTAATTTAACAACTACCAGCAGCTTACCTGTTCATCTGTGTGGTGAACACACCCACCACAGAGGGAACTCCGTTGATGTTGATGATGTCAGTGATGGACTGGAGCACATCGAAGTAGAAGAAGGACTCCCCTGGCACTGAGCAATTCAGCCTCGCCTTCACAAAAGATGTCCAGTGCTTCTCCAGCACCCGCTGCGAACCCCCAATGTCATTCTTACAGATACGGGCAACACGAGAATACACAACCTGCGAGGAGTGGGGGTTTAAGAGAGGACAGAGGCGGGTGGAAGAGGAAGGCGGATGAGTGAACGTCACTAAAAACACTTCAACATGCTGAATAATGCATCTCTCCATCCTGTAGCAACTCGAGACAGACGACTTAACAAACACTTTCATCTTTATCTTTGTGTGCGGAGATTGTTCACCCTGACTGGAGCAAACACTTGAAAAAAAGAGCACATCCCAACAGCCTTGACCGGCATGATGCTGCGCCGTGCGTTTGATTGCACTTATTACCAAAGCTGAGAGTATAAATGAAGTGTGTGAAGCAGTTGGCTTTGACAGTTTTAATTATTCACCAGTGCAAAGCTCCATCAGAGGCCAGGTGTCACCAAAGCATTAGTAGGGTTGAAATATTTATTGGCTGGTGGCTGATGGAGGACACTGGCTTCCTGTGGCTCGGCCAGACCTGCTCAGGGTGAGGCACGGTCAAATCTGAAGTTGGCCTCTAACACAGAGCTTCCTAATGCCCTCTGCATGTGTCGAAGGTAGAGGCAGACGCAGAGCGTGCATTCAGCGGGAGACAAATCCTCTTGCTGTGTAATGGTCTTACATTAGTAGAACATTCCCAGCAAACACTGGCTGTTAAAATTTCTCGTGTATTCTAATGCGATGTACTGTCATCGCCTGAATGGGCTCCATTACCACTGGGGCCATTTTGAGGCAGACACACATGCACTGAGGGAGGTGTAAGCCTTTTTTTGGATAAAGGCCTGCATACTGTATCTGTGCGGAATATGTAATGCATTATAAACAGCAGGTGCACTGTCTTACCTTGCCCAGATTGCTGTGCTCCACCGCAATCTCTCGGTAGAAAAAGTACACATAATTCCCATACTCTGCTGCGTGCAGGAAATGAGGTTCTGAGGGAGAGACAGAAGCAGAGAGTTGAAGTGTATTTCTGCACCGTCACCACCACTGTGCATGTTGAATATTTCAGGGATTTGTACAAGGCTGTATATGACTGGGGGTGACCTAGATTGCCTGGGAGAGAACAGGCCATATCCCCATGGAGCTTGCCAAGGCAGGAGAGCTCTCTATCACTTTAAAAACAGCTCTGACAGCCACGTACATACATACACCATGCAAAGGCACCGTGGGCATTTTGCTAGCTGGCAGGTAGACGCATGTATCCCCAGGAAAAGCGAGGGGAGAGGGAAATAAAGATTGAGAGTGACTAAGAGGCAATCGCTTACCTTTCAGCCATTTGGAGTCATATTTGATGGTCCTCAGGGCTGATCCATCACCCATACTGCGATAGATGACAGAATCACTGGCCTGGAAGTCAGCTACAGTTGCCGAATACAGCTTCCCCTCTAAAAAAAAAATAAATAAATAAAAAAATAATAATAATGATAAAACAAGGCGTAGAGTTGCCAGATATTGCACTTCAATGCTTTGTTGTTTCTCTTCTTTTAAACGGCTTGATTGGCTGAGCTGTTATCGCTGCAGGCACCGTTTTACCGTGGCAAAGACACAGAGGTGATAATGAGAGCGTAAGTAGGAACCCATTAGTTCTTTTGCGGCAAGACTAACTATGTGTGTGGGCGGGTGTGTGTTTGACCCATACCAGCGAAAAGGGCAACGTTGGTTTGCTTGGAGTCAAATGGGCATCGTGCCAGTCCATTGATCTCCTCCCCATCAAACTCGAGGTTATCCAGCTGCAGGCAACACAACAATCACCCACACATTAAGAGAGTTTTGTCAAGGGACACAGCGAGAAGGAACACACATGCACACACATAAATCAGTCAACCTGGTCTAGTCAAATGTATTTAACAAGAAATTAAAATGAAGGGTGTGTTACCCAAATTACTTGAAGCATATTTACACAATCCTAATCAACATTTTGTGTGTGTGTGCCTTTGCACACATCTGAGCATGCAAAGCTCCAGCACTGGATACTGACCCTGTAGTATCTGCACATGGGGTTGAAGCCATTGGTACCGCAGATGAACACAAGGTCATCGTTTCTGGGAACAAGCACTTTGATGAAATTGTGGCACTCGTCCTGAAAACAGACACCCAACATGGGACAGCGTTTTTAGGGGCAGCCAGCTTCTCTGCTCACATGTTTAATCCTCTGTCCACGCGGTGGAATAGAAAAAAAAAGGTGAATGGCTTTTTATACGCACCCTGTGTTTTCCCTTGACGGCACACATGTCTCTGTCAGATTGGCCCGATCGCCATGTTAGCTTCTGTAAAAACCCCAACATGGAGCATTAGACACACGCACGGCACACTAAATACGCACACACTCACACTCGTGCACACGCTCACACTCACACAGTCCTCCCTTTTCCACTCTCTCATTTTACAACCTGTCCAGTTTGTGATGAATGGCTCTGTATTTTCTATGGAGCCCTTTTTAGTGTTTGTGGATAGAGAGAGCAGCTTGTGGCGAGAATCTTACCCGGTAAGGAATGATCTCATTCCTGTAGGATTCTCTCAGACTGACCAGGTACACCTGATCTCTGTGGGCAGACAACAACAAAACACACACAGCTCAATGATACAGCACAACCAGGAATACAACTCAGCCTTTTCAGTTTCACCATTTTAAAAATAAAAATCTGTGTTTTTTAATATGAATAACAGGGTGAAATTCTCCATTTAAAAATTGCCATTTTCAACACATCTACATGGTTTATCCATTTCTTGTTTTTCTCATTCTTAGAGGAACTCTGGTGCATAATCAGCAGCTCATTTGCATTGTTTCCCAATTTTTCTATTTATTCGCCATTAGGAGAATATTTCTCTAAATGGTTCCTGTCATTAGACGATCTCATTTACTGTGAACGATGGTTTCAGCCTCCCCTTGCGGTGGGAATCACACAAACTTTTAGTTCACAGTAATAAAGAATCTGAGGCAAGCCAATTTCTTCTTTTCAAAACCTGCGTCATTTTCTGTCAAAATGAGACCAAAATTTAAATGTCTACATTGTGTTAACAGTGCATGGTGAACTTGTTTTTTTATGCAACTGCCTGTTATAGAAAACCCAAAAATGCTCCCTGCTGTAACATCGACAATTACTTATTGTTTTGCTCATACGTTAGTCATAAAAAATGTGACAAAACCAATGGGGATCAAATTTTATAAACCCGCTGGGGACATTTTGCTTCAGTTTTAGTAAAAGCATGCAAATACCCTAAACTGGCTGAAAGGAGGATCCACCTGACGCCAGTGATACATGTGGAGATGATTATAGGGGCTCCAGAGGTGGGAGTTTTATACTGTAGATGTCAACTTGATTTCCTGCTACAATATTAGTGCTGGCGGTCAGATTAATCCCAGTGCCCATAAATACCAAAAAGACATGTAAAGATGCCAAGAAATCCCTGACAGAGCGTCAGGCTGGCATGATAGACGCCTTTCCTCGATCAATACTGGCCATATACATCAAATGCAGGCCTAGAAGCCACAGATCCAATAACACTAAGAGCTTTTTTCCCCCTTATGCCACTGTTTACCTGCCAAGGAGTGACAGTATATTGGTGTGGGGGATGTGTGAAAGAGAAAGAGATGGAAATAGTGAGTGTGTGTTGGGTTTACCTGCCAGCAATGAACAGAGTGTCCTGTATCTTGGTCATCAGCTGAAAGTCAAGGCGATGCTGTGACTCGTTGCCAGAGGGCCTGCCTCTGAACACAGGGTACCTCCGTGAATCTGTGAAGACAACACACACATGCTGTTAATAGGAAATGGGAGCAGACACTCTTGTGCGGATAAACCACACTCGGCTCTTGCTACATTTAACTCCACTGTACTGATTAAAGAAATATGCTCTGTGTGTGTGTGTGCTTTATACAAATCGTCATGCAATTAAGGTAATGGTACAGTAAAAATACCTACAGTGTATTCTGTATAATTATATCTGCGTGTCATTGTGTTTGTGCGTTAGATAATGGCTGCCGATGTCAGCACATCTCTCTGTTCTTCCAGCACACCACAGAGATGAAAATAAAATCCACTTAATGCCTCAACTGACCATCCAGCAGATTGATTTTATTACTATGAGCATGGCATGCTTGTGTCTGAACTGCTGACACGACTGGAATAAGGAGGCCGCCGGTATTTGTCTTTATTCCGCATGCGACTGGCCTGAGTAAAAAGTGTATATTAAATATAGCTGTTGACTTTTTCAGTGACGTTGCAGCAATTGTAATCTCTACCCCCCCCTCGTCCCTGCTGAGCTCATATTGGGTGCGTGTACTCACAGTGTGCGTCAACGACATCGAGGGGTACGGTGTCCTCAGGGAAGCTGACTGCGAGGAGAGTGCGTGAGGCTGTCAGCAGCAGCAGCAGCAGCTCACTGAGCAGAAGCGCAGCTCTCTGGCCCATGGCTGCTCACAGACGACACTTCCTGTTTCACTCTAGTGGAGATGTTACCTGGAAACGCACACAAAATACATGCTTTTGTTCTTGACATGTCAAACATTTCATGTTATATTTAACCATCTGCTGCGAACAGTAGTCTTATGAGCCAAAGCCAAACCCTTGGTAAACTCAGAAAAATGAAAAAAGATGATATCAGCAGTGAAGTTTTCTTGTGTTGGTGAAACACAAACATAAGGTGCACATAATGCCCTCTCAGGCTTATTGATGACTGAGCTCTCAGTGGCAGTGCTTGGCGTTTCCCCTCTACCTCTCCCTACATCTGCTGTCTAAGGGAAGGTCAGCCAAGTGACCGGTGGGGTGTCTCGGTGTGTGTTGGATGCAGCGGAAGTCCACTCTGTTAGAAGCGTGGCGGGCCTGCTGTCTCTGTACATCTGTGCTACGATTGGTTTGTCTTGGGTCGGGCTCAACACTAATCAGCACATTGCAACTTCATCACCATCACTAGTGTAGCCTCTGCTCTGACCTTAGCTGACTTCTATTAGCGCTCTGTTGGCTGTTATTGCTCCAGCCTTTCCTTTGGGCGGGGGTGCTTTATTGCAGAGCAGTGATTCACTCATCTTTGTCTTAGGAGGATAAAGTCATGTACAGTTGTTTTGACATAGTATTAATACTTGTTACAAATAGTTTGTACTGCATCTGATTGCAGACATGATATACCAGCAAGTACATTGGTAATAATTCATTGTAGGAGTGGCAGGAGTTTAGTGTGTATGTTAGTGCGTGGAGGAGTGCTTTAGAGACAGACTGTGTCTGTGCATATTAATGATCGGTGTACATTCAAATATTTATAAGGCAAACAAATTATTCATGCAGGCAAAGCCTGAACGGATATAAACAATTTACCGGGAGACGTCACACAGGCAGAGGGATGGATTAGTTGGGAGCACACTGGGATACGCACACACACAGACACACACACGGCTGCACATACATAATCACTCTTTCAAATGGTGTAATGCAAAGACTGATGCATGTGCACGCACGCAAACACACACCCAGACACACACTGTATTGACTCATTTTTCAATTAGCCCCAAAGCACACCTGCTCCAGTGCTGTCTGTGGGCCCTGCCTGCCAAGCCATTAGTGCTTTGATTGATCCACACAGGAAGCATGGCAGATCAACAGCCAGCAGAGGCAATCTATGGGCTTTGCCATATCACTGTAGCCATGTGAGAACTTTGTAACTCACCACATGGTCACCTTCATCCTGTAGTAAATGGAAATTGTGGAAAAACCTTTTAAATCGTTCCAAACGCTTAGTTTAAAACACTTTATGACACAAACGGTTGTCAAGTAGAAAATGAGACAGGATAAGGTGTTTACCTGACAGCAATAATTTACATCAGTCACCTTTTGTCAGTATATGTGAATTACATAGTTCACAAATTGGCAGCACTGCCTTAAAACCTACATGTTGATATACAGCGCACAGTTTTCCAGGCTCTAATAATCCAATTTGAGTCGGAACAGTTCCCATATGACGATGTGTTACTAAAAAGAATGGAAGCCGTGGAGATGGAAGCGGAGTAATGCCAGCGTGTTTTAGTCATCAACAATGTGTAATCATGGCTATTCAGCACTCTGTGGGATACTGAGGCCTTTGAAAGAGCAATGTCATTATGACTAAGTAATGCAAGGCCTGGACAAGAAATCGCTTCATCTCAATTAGTCCACTTAATGGTGAAATTACGGGTTGAATGTTTTGACAAAATAGAAAGATTAAATGAGGGCATATATCTCATCCTATAACAGCAGACATCAATGATGCCGGAGTAGGAACTCTAATCTAGATACAAATGAATCTCTGGATGCAAACACTCCACAGATCTATGCACACGGGCTCCCAGATCTATACAGAAGAACAACTGTCAGCAACTTAATCTAAACGAGAAATGATGACACTGCTCTGCAAAGAGAGACAGTGGTGTTCCTTAAAAGCGTAGCTGCTATTTTTTTACTACCTGGTTCAGACGCCCTCACACCAACAAATGTGCTGTATTAAAACCCAAGCAATAAATTGCTGAGTTTCCAGGAGAAGCCAGGGACAGGAATAGATACCAAACACACAACAATAGGGAAAAAAAGAGGCGCTATGAAAGGTAAATAAACCAAGCTCCACATTTCAATTCTATAGTGCTATCATACAGGCTGCAGGCTGTGCTTCCAGCCCAGACTTGGCGGTGTTCACAGGTAAATCATTTCCTTGGTTGTCAAAATTTAGAGTCCTGCTCTATAGCTCCTCTTCGTAAAGCGCACACACCACTTTTTTTTCCTGCCATTCTCCCCCCACTAAACAATTCAGGAGAAAAATGCTCCGACGAGAGGCCCAGCTTCGATCTCCCATGATTCCTTGCATGGTAATAGCCACACTGCGGAGGCGAAGGCTTTCCTCAGAAACTTTAATGTAAAACAGAAACAGAAGACATCCAGAGGTCAGCGATCTAAAATTACTTCTCAATCTCTAGTGAGCCCAGCATGTTTTCTATTGACTATTCCTTTGCGCTCTCTGGTTCCTGCCCTCCAGTGTGTGTGTGATTGTGTGTGGGGGGGTGTGTATGTGTGCACATACACATATAGGCCTCAACAAGCCTCGAGATGCTGGGCTTGTCACGCAACTCGGTGCCATTCAGCCTTGCCTCACTCTACCTCTGTTATTACAGGCTTTTCAATGTCCTACAACCACGCAGTTTCCCCACTGATGTTGTTGGCTCAGGCCCATGGTGTTAAACACGGGAGGGGAGCGGGGGGAGGGGTCTGGCGGATTGCTATTTCTACTGATGGTGGGTGTTGGGGTCTGTAGCCCAATTCTGGTAGTTACAGCTGAAGATTTAGTGTTCCGAGCTCAAAATGACAGATTAACACATATTCTCCTCTTAGCTGTGCTTTCGCTGGCATATGTCAGCCATAACCTCTCCCCCCACTGCAACACTGAATGGATGTACTTTTGCAGGGGAGTCCTATTGGGAGGAATTGGGGCCAATAAAAGGAAGACAAACAACAGCAGTGCGTGAGGTTTCGTAAATTGTGTGCGAGTGTGATGGGTGGATGTAATCCCAGCAGAACAATGGCTGCTGCTGCTCGAGGCTGCTCGGCCTGTCATTCTGCACCGTACTGATCTGAAAACCTAACAGCACAGGAAATCAGATAGCCCAGGAGTTCAGTTTCAGGCACTCTTCACACTTCTGTCTAAAATGTGTGTGTAAGCATGCGCGACTGTCCAAAATGGGATATGTCTTATGACACGGTTGTCTCTGAGAAAGTAATCAAGATGCAGCCACACAGGAAAGTGAGTCAGACAGATGATTAGAGCAGCCACCACACAGGGCCCAGAAATGATTACCACTCCTTTTCCCACTCCTGTAATAACCCCCACCCCTAATCGCGTGCTATTTACCTAAGGATCACTTGTGAGGGGCTTGGTTGGACTTGTTGCTCCAGAGATTTGGCAGAAGGAGAAGGCTGTGCCACCCTAAACCGTGCTTCCCTCCCTTTCTTCTCTACCTTGCAGAGAGGAGGAGTGAAACAGGAGAAAGGCTGTTCTCAGCAGTAGTTCTGCTATAGTAGAGCACAAAAGGGGCTGAGCTGCAGGTGTGACCAGGAAACAAAGGGGGCTTTGGGCTAGTCAACACAATAGAGCCCCACCCCCGGTCAGTGGACCTACGTTTAGGAGAGCTGTTCTGGGGCTCCTAAAAGGGGGTTGTGAGGGAACAACTACATAAACACATGGACTCCAAATGCTGCACACGGGGTCAAACTTTTATCACTCCACCAATTTAGCAATGAGCAATGTGGTTTCTGAGCAGCACTTTAGGCATATGGTGTAAAGGGTTAACACTGATCACTGTATGGTTCAGTGACAGTGGTTCCGGGGTTGCAGCCGGCTGTAGTGGAGGTTAACGGTGATCGTTCTGGTCGCTGAGTTCTGACCCCGTGATCAGTGAGGCGAAGTGAGACACACCAGCCAGCTGTGCTGTCAACCAACCCACAGCTGGTTCGGATGTTTTAACCTGGCCGGAGTGTTGTGCTCCTGCCTATGTGAAGTTTGTAGTTTGAGTAAGTAAGCTGGGGTTCTCCTGGATGTGTGACGGGGCTCAGACACTCGAGTTTCTGGGAAATGTCCACTTGTGCTGTGTGTTTTATTTTATAAAGGGACTGCAGTGATTTAGATTTGCACAGATGCATTTTGACCACAGACAAACTAAAATTAGACATCATTGTACACTTTTTTTAATTTATTTTGGCACACCAGGTTAGTCTATAGTACCGACTTCAGAATAAGCCCACTGGCTGCTTAATTGGTTCATCTCCTTTTGCTCACTTACTTAAATTGGCCAAATTTCTTTAATTAATGAGACACAGCAGAACAATTCCTTAAACTGCCCCCACTTACATGGCTTTTTATCAAGCAGATGAACCATTCTAATTCACCCTATCACCCCCTATAATTCTTCTGTTTCTCTTCCTTTGCTCGCTGGTAATTTTTCAAGTTTTGCGTGGGGATCTTCCGCTCCTCTTTTGCGCACACAATCCATGCAGCAGCCCGGGCTCTAATGCAAGCATTGTGCGGACTGGGGCGTAGAAGGCATTCAAGTTTTTTATCCGTGGTAAATCTTTTTCAGAACCCCTTTAGCCCACATGTAGGACTCATACAAAAGACAACAAAGACGCGGGGGACAGCGGTGGAGTGACAACTGTGATGGGGCTGCGTTTTAACTGCCTCCACGGCACTTAATGCATGCACAGGGCTGGGCTCTCGTGCTGCTCTGCTCCAAAAAGGTTACGAGCGCTTCTCCGGTTTATTATCCAATATAAGAATACCATAATGAAATTGGGAATGCATTAAAAAGATTAAAAGCATCAGTGGAGTGAGCAGTCAACAGCCCTTCAAGTCCAAACTGCCCATCCTACTGGTCTTTTGTTGTTTAATACTGTGTTTGCCTGCACGCTCCGCACAATCATGTGCAGGTTACCTTTAATCCAAGTTGATTTTTGTGTCAGAACCACTTTAATTTATGCCTTGGACAGTTAAACACAACTCGGAACGATACACAGCAGAAGAACAGAGCTATTATGACTGAAATTGTGGCAAAGTACGCACACATGAATTTTCTGTTTTGGACCTTCCATGGCTCAGTTTTTACTCTCAGTAAATCAGCACATCTCTGTTCAATTAAATACTTTTAAATCTTGATTCCCTTGTATGGATTTTCCTCACAAAGTAGATCTCCGGACAGTATAGAAGCCAGCAGTGATGCGTCCTTCATTAAATTAAAGGTCCATCTCACTAATAAAACACATAATGTATCATAGAAATAAAAAAAAATGCACTGCTTATAATTAAATAACATCGAGGACACCTACCTTGTGTGTCCGAATTCACTCATGAATAGGGCAATCCGACTCAATGTCATATTCCTTTGGTAATCCATTTAAGAGAAAACACCCAGCATGTAATATTCCTGTTATTTTAAAGCTCCATCCGGACCCCACTTTTTTCTTTTTATCCAGTTGCGCGCAGATTTTTCAGCTCCGCTCGCCACATACGAGCATTTTGACTGGCTGCTCTGTCTCCGTCCCCGGGCCCCTGCGCTCTGATGACTGATCTTCAAAGCTCTGCCACGACCACACAGCCCCCTCCCTCATACACCGACACACCAGCCCCCTTTCCACTACTATTAACTTTGGAAACCAGAGAGAAAAGGCATAAACATTAACGACGCGCTATCCTCACTCCGCCGCGCTCCGACTTCATGTACAATCATTGATTTAATGCTGAGTTAAGATAATAGAGGGCGTGTGGACTTGACGGAGAGCGTCACATCGCACATATATCCACCAGAATAAAACAAATAACTGCATTTACGCACAACTCTTCTCCGTGCTTGTTTATCCCTACAGCCACACAACTGAAGTTAGATACATGGCTTAATAATGCTACTATAGAACTTAAAACGAAAGGTTTCTGACAGCTTCAATAGGAGAGCATACTGTCTCACAAATGAAGAGGTGACTTTAAATGTGGTTTGCCCTCTGTTACACCGCTTTATGGGCGCTGGAAAGACGCTTCCGAGCAGGGCACATAAATGCGTCCTGAAAGGAATGAATGAAGCGTAAATTGGACTGAAGCATAAGCAAAAATAGCCCGGACCTGAACTATTTCTGTCCTGCAACCATCAGTTTTGCAGAGCAGCATAGCGACGTGGTCAGAGGATATTTTGTATCCCAGCAAAGACTTCTCCTCTCTAGTTTTCCGATCGACTTTCACTGCGTAATGCGGCGCAACAAAGTGATATATGTCCACGTAGCGGCAAAAGAAACTCACCTCATCTGAATTGCTTATTTTTGTATCCTTTAGTGTTGCTTGTAATCCAGAAAAAAATGATTGTGCGCGTCGTAGTGAATCAACTTCTCCTGGCTGGGAGAAAAACAAACTAATGCACGGCAAATGGTGTAATTCGACCCGTGTTAAGTCAATCCATCCAGAGAGAGAGCCACAGCCTACCAATAAGCAGCGCTCTTGCTCCAGTCCCTCCCCCCACCATCCATCTCTCCTCAGTTGGTTTGGGCTCCTCTGCCGTGCTCTGGCTTCCTTCCTTTCTTTCCTAGAGCCCGTAGAGAAAGAAAAAGCGACCCCCTCCCTCCCGGTTCTCCTCCTGTGTGACCCCGTATTGCCCCCCCCCCTCTTTTCTGTTAAACCCCATCCCCCAACTCCAAGTCAGCAAGAGTGCCTAGTAAAAATCATTTAAGCTGAGTTGTGGCTGCTTAGTAAAACACAGCTTTAGAAATGTTTAGATTTAAGAGGGATGGTTGAAGCTCAGACTTCCTTTGGCTTCTGCAAAACATCATGCAAGTCATTTTCTATGAAAAATGGAGAAATATAAATGTGACGGTGTAGATAAAAAGTTTCACATTTATGTCAAATAACTCCACAGAGTCATAAATTATATATTCTATCACACTATTTAGCTACAAAATTATTCTTAATATAGATATACCTACCACAATAGGCCTAAAACGAGTCATATTTAGTGGTTTCAAACATTATTGTGCACTATAAACACAATAAATTCCCAAAATTAAACATTATCCTTATCCTCTTTTGTCTTTGGGCTCCATCCAGCTAATACATAAACATTAGTAGTCTACATATGTATGCAAACATCCGCATGAGGGCTTGTTCCCGTATGCATGCAAAGCTCAAGTCGTCATTGAACGTGTCAGGTCATTCCAACCAGGTCTGCTAGGCTGCACAATGGAGGCCCATTTGCACCCCATTAGAAAAGCAGGTTAGCAGATGTGTGAGAATCTCTCCCAAGCGAACATCCTCACCCACACACACACACACACACACACTCCTGACAGCCCCCATTATGAGCTCAGTAAGTAGGATCTGCATCTCAATACTTGCACAGGAAACACTAGTTTGCACTGCTGATCTGCCTGATCTCAGTTTGGCACTTCTTGCATGTCTTTGTCCCCGCTTGTCCCTCACTTGTCCCACCCTCTTCCTCTTTTTTTTTTTATTGTGAAGTTACTACTTCTTGATATCCAGTCTCTTCATTGGATAGAACCTTTCTTTTTCCTCAGGCCCCCTATAGTTTTCTATTTTTCTTCAATCTCACCAGGGTTATCTCAACTGATAGAGTTTAGTCTGTCATTTATGTGACTTTCAGCCCCTTTCTTCTGGCCTCTCATGCTTCAATCTCACCGCTCAGTGTTTCTGTCAGTCCTCGGTTACTTCTGTGTGATGTCCCCTGAATCCCGTGGGGACTGAATCAGCACGGGCATCTATTATGGTGGGATAGGGGAAAGACGGATGGATCAATGTGTCAAAAGGTTTGCGCCAACACAGTTACTGAGTGTCAGGACGGCTGAACACATATATGGATCTCTGGTGATTGGTGGGTGTATTGATTGGTCTTTTTTCCAGTGAACTGACAATTTTATCATGGGTGTAATGGCAATGTGACACTGTTTCAGTAGGTTTTTAATAGGTTTTGGTGCACTTTTGTGGGCTTTGACAATTCTCTATCTACTTGCAGTGTCATTATTTTTGCCACTAATGTGAATTGTTACCAACCCAAGCATGCTGAATGGATAATTCATGATTTTGCTGTTGTTCCACACTCAGAATGATCAAAAATAGCAAATTTTCTGATGTCATGGCGATTATTGGAGGAGAATAACAAAAAGAAGATGACAGTTTTCCCCTTATTTTTCATTCTTCAATTACAATTTCACTACAAAACATTTTTTCTTGAACAAATGACATTAAAGTCATGGGAGGATAGATGAGTAAATGGAGACATATTTACAAACATAGCAGGAGTAGAAGTGGAGCAGATGGGTGAATGACAAAGGTCTTTGAGACTGAGAGCGTGTTTGGATTGATAGTGGGGACGGACAGATGAATGTATTGATGTTGGGAGATGGAGAGATAGATGGTGATGGTGATGGTGATGGTGGGAGAGTAGAGTGTTATGCATGGAGGGTGAGGGGAAAGACAGAGGACAGAAGGCCTGTGCTGCTCCCAAAGCCTGATAAGCTCCCTTGGGGACCTTGCAGTGTGTAGGTCAACTCCAGGGGGTGTGCGAGGGTGAGCCTTGGGGTGCAGAGGAGAATGTGAGGGCTTGGCCTTAGGTTGGGCCTACCAGAGAGTTCAATATCCTCCACTCCCTTATTTACTGCCTGAAATGCCACTACAGATGGCCATGTGTCAAGGATGGGGGCGGCAGGCTTAAGACTGGGGCTAGAGGCCAAAGATGGCGTGAACCCCAGGGTCGGATGTTTTACGACAACATCGCCATTTACCATTAGCTAATTAAATTACTTGAGAATATAAAAACCCAACAGGGCAAGATAAAGATATACTATGCGTGATTTTTCTAAAACTGTGTCATACAGAAGTGAACTCTCTCAATCATCATCCAGTATAACAAAAGGTACAAAGTTAAAAGTTGTTGAATTTAAATATATCAAGAACAGCTCAATTGACTTAGTGCTACAGTAATTATGAACAAGCAGCAGAAAGACAAATACTCTGGTTTTAAGATGCATTTCGGTGATCTGAATACAAGTGGACAGCCAAGATACATCCCCACTCACATCTGTGTCTGTCAAGCATCATCAGCTGACCGCTTGTGTTTCAATTTCTTTCCTGCCTACGTCACTTGAGCTAGAAGGTCAAAGGGCCCCGCACACAGTTATTATTACATCCCCACTCTCACCAGTCACGTAAGCAGTTGTGTCATTACCAATGGAGACATCACTTTCAACAGAATCCGACATGTCTCAACAGACAGTCATGCAACACTTTATCTGATTCATTGTAAAATGGGCAGGTTATAGATTGTTGGTGCACCGTCACCAAAATAACCACCTCATCCTGCATCGATGGCGTATTTTCCTGCCACCTCCTCGTCAGGGACACATCAGGATGTGTGGTCAATTGTGTCTGAGACCACTTCAGCAAGTGGTTTGAGTGACCAGATGACAATAGCCACACTTTTGGTATAGTACCCTTAGAACCAGTACGTAACCTGTACGGACATGTACCTAAATCCTAGATCTGTTAAGTGTTTCCACTGCATGCAGTACTCTTAGTGTAGGCAGGGCTGTTACCGGATAGTAATAGGCGCATCACTGCTCTGTTCAATGCAGAGGAATGTCTGCACCTCGTTGATTGTCCACAAAAAGGGGTGGCAGGCAGACATTTTCAGAGCATGACAGAAAAGGCTGGAGTGTTAAAGTATTTGTCACAATTGATGAGATATTTAAAAATAGTGTGTTTGTGCAGTGAGTCCTTGTAGAGCAAGAGTGATGATTCTCTCTTGACCAATTAATGGATGGTAGTGTTTCTACCCTTTGACAATGGAAACACAAAAAGAACCGTTCTGATGTGTAATAAACTGAACTGAAGCGGACTGCTTGATGTAAACAAGGCTAATGCGTCTTGGTAGTTTTTTACACTTGTATTTTGTGCTGTCCACATGTGATCTGATCGTCCAACAAGCATTTTAAAACCAAGTGTAAACAGGGTAATCTCTGCTGTGAGCGGTCCAGTTTTCAGAACTGATGAGATGACACTAACAGCAGCAGTGATGTGCTAACTAGGGGAAAAGGTTGTGTGCTCTGCGGCTTGGCATTGAGTGTTCTATCAGATGGCTGCCTCTCAGGGTGAAGGCAGTCTGGATTGAGGCTCTATGGTGACCTCTGATTGATTAAGAGGCCATTTCTGGCACTTGGCTGGCCTGGGGCACCATTTGTCACCTGACTGTGCAGTCCTGTTGAGAAGCTTCGTGTCCTCCAATCTACACTCAGACCTTTTTTTTTTTTTTTCTAAATCCTCAGCTCAGCCAGGCCCACCAGGGCCACCCATGTCAAAAATCTGTTCACTCATTCTGGTGCTCAGCCTTTTGGATTAGAGTAAACACCAAATGGCACGTTGAAACATGAAATATACGGCACATGAAACGCTTTATCTGTGATACCTCAGTGCATTTGTCTCAGGCTGCTGTGTTTTTTAAAGGTGATATAAAGGTGAATTAAAATAAAAAAATGTTCAGGATATAGCGTTAATCTCGACTTGTGTGAAAATTGTAATTACACAAAAAGTATTTAGTCTTCTGCAGTGATAGGAAGTGACTCCACAGGTTCAGCTTGACTTTAATAGTTCATAACCACATCCAAATGTCAAAGTTATGTTATTACCGCTCTTTAGGTGAGCTGCATGTCACAGATTGTAGGTTTGACGACTATGCCGCCCACTTTACTTCATCAGCTGCTTTTATAGAAAATTCATTCAAACCAAAGGTCAGAGAAAGGTGACCAGTTTTATAGCTGACAG